AAAAAAAAAAAAAATTTGGACTATAAATATATTCCGTAGTTTTTTTGTTTTGTTTTCTTTTGCCAGTTCAACTGTAAAAAGTAGTATGGAATATATTTATAGTTTGTATTTTTTTTTTTTGCCAGTTCAACTTTTGACAGGTATACAACTTACTGATAGCAGTTACAATAATTGGCTGTGCAAGTCTGCCCTTAATGAGTGGAATTTTTCCATCACGTTAACACCTCTTTTTCCTCCTCCCTCCTGCCCCTGGTAACCACTAATAAATTTTTGTCTCTATACATTTGCCTTTTCTTCCTTTTTTATATAAGTGAGATCATACAGTATTTATCCTTTTGTGACTGACTTATTTCACTCAGCATAATGTCTTCAAGCTCCATCCATATTGTGCCGTGTATCAAGACTTCATTTCTTCTCCTGGCTAAGTAGTATTCCGTTGTATGTATGTACCACATTTTGTTTATCCATTCATCTGTAGATGGGCATTTAGGCTGTTTCCACCTTTTGGCTATTGTGAATAGTGCTGCAGTGAACGTTGGTGTGTAGGTCTCTGGATGTCTGCTTTCAAGTCTTTGGGGTATGTATATACCTAGGAGTGGAATTGCTGTGTCATACGGTAGTTCTATTTTTAGTTTTTTGAGTAACTGCACATTGTTTTCCACAATGGCTGTACCATTTTGCATTCCCACCAACAATGGATAAGGGTTCCAGTTTCCCTACATTCTCACCAACATTTGTTGTTTGCTATTTTTTTCCTATCTTAGCCATCCTAGTGGGAGTGAAATAGTATTTCATTGTGGTTTAGATTTGCATCTCTTTGATAGCTAGTCATGTTGAGCATCTTTTCAGATTGTTTGGTGGCCATTTCAAAGTTCTCTTTGGTGAGATGTCTATTCAGGTCCTTTGCCCATTTTATGATTGAGTTATTTGTCTTTTTGTTGTTAAGTTGTTGAAATTTTATATTTATACTAGTTATTAGATTCTTGTTGGGTATATAGTTTCCGAAGATATTCTTCCAGTCTGTAGCTTGTCTTTTCACTTTTTTTATAAAGTCTTTTGATGAATAAAAGTTCTTAATTTTTATGAGGCCCCATTTATTTATTTTGTCTTTTACTTTCGTGCTTTTGTTATTATATTAGGTAATCCATTGTTAAAAGCTAGGCCCGACAGCATTTTTCCTGCGTTTTCATCTAAGAATTTTATGGTTTCAGTTAGCATGTATAGGTCCTTAATCCATTTTGAATTTGTTTTTGTGTATGGTGTAAGGCATGGATCCTGTTTCATTTTTCTGCAGGTGGAAATCCAGTCCCAACACCATTTATTGAAGATACTGTTCCTTCCCTATCAAATGGACTTAGCACCCTTGTCAAAAATCAGTTGACCATAGATGTGTAGGTTTATTTCTGTATACTCAATTCTATTCCATTGGTCTATGTGTCTATTGTTATACCAGTACCAGGCTGTTTGATTACTGTAGCTGTATAATATGTTTTAGAATCAGGAAGTAAGGTTTTAAAGGAGCCCTCCTGCTTTGTTCCTCCATAGTTGTTGTGAGTTGCTGTCAAGTTGATTCTGATTCATGGAGACCCCATGTGGGCAGAGTGGTACTGCTCCATAGTGCTCCATAGGGTTCTCAAGGCTGTGACCTTTTGGAAGTAAATCGCCAGGCGTGTTTTCTCAGATGCCTCTGAGTGGGCTCGAACTGCCAACCTTTCGGCTAGTTGATCGCTTAACCGTAGTTAATGGACTTTTTCTGTTGCTGGGTAAAAACTATAATAATAATATATAAATAAATTAAAAATTTAATTGTGACTCAGGCCTATTAGCAGTATATGTGCATTTTAACAACATTTAGAATTGGAAATATCACCTTAAATGTAAGTATTTTATCAGAAACTTACCTGTATGGTCAGGCAAGTAATGTGACCTAAAAAACAAGCAAGGAAACATTTGAGGAATGATAATCTTGTGAGAAACTTTGCTAAATTTTTAATTTTAGCAGTCATCTTGAAGAAGGTTTTATACTGAGGCTTTATTTACATGTTTTGTACTCTCAGGTTTATTAGCTTCTATTTTTGATGTCGGATGTGTTAGTGGTAATTGTGAAGCTCAGCTCTGTCATTAAAAGCCTGATATTCTGATTCTCTTTGCTCTTTCTTTCTGCCTTCTGGTTTCTATTTCTCTTTTCCCTTAACTTTCCCATCCTTTTGGACTAAACCTTTCTCTTTCTATTTTCTCACTGAGAGAGTGTTTATTTATTCTCAGAGTTGCAACTGTTACCCCCATTATTAAGTTTTAAATTTGTAAAGCAGAACTGAAGTCTATTTCTTTAGTTCAGTTTGGATGGACTTTACTAGTAGAATAGTGATGTATTGAACCAAAATCTAACAAAAGTGTGTGTGTTTGTTGTCGTTTGTACATAGTAGCCATTTAATATTTGTTGACTTTTGAGTGAGAGAAAAAGTAGCATGTTGATGGTGAGAAAAGAACAAAATGACACGTAGAACAAGAGAAGGGATTCGAGGAACTGAAACCATTCCGAAAGTTCACTCTTCAGAGTAAGATTAGAGAGGACTAGCAAACAAAAAATAATACGTATGAGGAATGTGCTTCTTACTTCAATCAGATATACAAGACTAAACGGGCAGCTCCTGTCCAAAAGCAGGATGAGAAGGCAGAAAGGGACAGCTGGTCTAATGGACACACAGGGAACCTGGGGTGGAAAGGGAGAGTGTGCTGTCACATTGTGAGGATTGCAGCTCATGTCACAAAACAGTATGTGTATAAATTTTTGAATGAGAAATTAACTCGAGCTGTAAACTTTCACCTAAAGCACAATTAAAAAATAAAGAAAAGAAAATGGGATAATACAAGGAAGTTTTTCTTCAGGTCCATAAAATACTAATTTCCTGAGGCTTTCACATTATATAGAGTAAAATAACTTCACACACACGCACGTTTGTTTCTTTTAAAATAAGAATACTGTGCACTTTGAGCACAACTCTAAATTCCGGAAGTGGGATTCTTTGAATCTCTTTTAGGTAAATAATACCTGCCCTTTTCCCATATTTTTTTGTTTTGTTTTAATAAAGCCATCTAAAACATGACATATCAAAGCATTTGTTAAATATTTAACGTGTAAATAGCAGTGTTTTAACTTTTAATAAGTCATGTATGACATAGTTTTTTCATATATTTATTCTTTATGGCACAACAGAGCAAAGTATGTTTTATAGGAGTATACTTACCACATATTCTCTAAACCTGGGAAATAATTTTATTGTTCTAAAATATTGTGGAGTTTTACCACACTCTCCCTACCTTGGGATCTCTTTTAACACTTCCTTCAAATAGCCCATTAATCATTTTCAAATAGATATTGTGATCACTTGATTGTTACCCTCCTTCCCCCAACAATGTAGAAATCCTAAAATGCTATTTTGGTTTTTGAAGAATGTAGAGCATGTGGTACTTGAAAGTCGTATGGTTAAAACAAATCTTATCTTAGAACTATTACGTATAGGTTATATTAACATATTTGCATTATGGATCACCATAGAAAACATTTGCTTAAGGTCCAGTAAATGTTTATAAAAAAGTGCACATATTTTTTCATGGTGGGATATTTATATAACTGATTTTTATTCCTTTTGTTTTTGTCTTGTAGATGATACTACTTTTCTTTAAATTAAAATACACATTTCTCTAAACTGACTTATAGTAGGATTAGTCTGTACTATTTGAACATTGACCTCCAAGTTTGATCAGAATAAGTGGTCAGTCTGTTGGTTGGATAAATAGCCATCATATTTAATAATTACAGATCTTCCCTGGCTGTTCACCTTTAATGTGAAGTTTTATCCTCCTGATCCTTCTCAGTTGACTGAAGATATCACCAGGTACTTTACATTTGTATTTAAGAATGAGCTTTTATTCATAGCTTTCATTTATTTCTGTGCTCTGGGAGAACGGTGATAATTTCAGGATTAAAAACCAAAACAAGTTTTTATAAGTTAAATTTTAGAAAGTTTCTTTGCAAATGAGTACTCCCAGATATTTTGAAATGTTGCCAATTTCCAAAAATCTATTCACTTTTCTTTTTCTTAATTTCTCCATTAATATTCAAGTAGTAGATTATTTTTAAAAATTATATTGCTGGCAATTTTGTTTTCATGTTACACTTTAAAAAATAATTGATATTAAACATTTCAGATTTTAATAATAGGATGTTTTTATTGTGTAACATACGTGTGCCTGTGTACTAGTCTCATAGTACAAGATGATTTAAGGACTGAAAAGAGAGATTATTTTTAAATGTAAATTGAACTCCCCCCTACACCCCCCCCCAAAAAAAAAAAAAAACAAAAAACAAGCAAACTAATAAGGTAGGGTTTCTTATGTAGGGTTTCTTATTTCCATCTCCTCCTATATGGGCTATAGGAACATAGGTTTATATTGTAAGTAGAGGATTCAATTCAGGAAGAAGAGAGTATTGATACTGAGAGTGTGTGAGTATTTGAATGGTAGCCAAGGAGTATTGTGAATCAGCAAGTACCTTGATATCTTATCCCTATTAGACTACATACCAGTGACAGAATTTCTTAGTTTTGGTGAGAATAGGTATATAGAAAAATTTTGAAAAAAAGATTATTTATATGGCCATGGAAAACCGGGCTGCAATATAAGTACTTTCAGAAAACTAGAGGGCCTTTGCAAAAGATTCTGCTTCACTGTGGCTCCTGTGCCTTTGATGCTCTCGGCTAGGCTAGTTTTCTTGTCAGACATCAATTTGTGTAGGTGTCTTAACATGCTTAAAAGTGCATGTTATCCAAGTGTAAACTAGGGAAGATGGGAATTTCTTTCCAAGACTGGATAAGTAGCAGGTCTTTATTTTTCTTTTATCACTTGTTGCTGAATAGGGAAGTACTGATACTAATTAAGCTCTGATTGAATTAGCTTCAGCTAGTTAATAAATAGTAGCTTTTGTAACTGCACAGCGAGCAGCTTGGAGCATAAAACCTGACAGGTTGGTGTGCGTAGGACACAGCTTCACCACAGGAGTGCCTTTGAACAACGGACGTAATTGGGACTTTGTGACCCAACGCCCTCTCTGTACATACACTCCTCCGTGAGGTAATTTGTTTGGGGGATTATAATCCTTTGGTGATTGCAGCTTTATAGTGTCGGTAAGTGCTTTTGGCTTTTCTTATAAGCAAGGCTTAAACAGTCAGCCTGTCTGTGGTAGGAAGAATTATATAGTCTGAACTAACTACAGGCTTCAGTGGTGCAGCCTGAGAGCAGCCACCTGCCTGTACCTGTGGCCTGCCAGCCTAAACTACTTGATTAAAATTTTCACCTAGACTTGAGTGAACATTTAGAAGGTGTGGTAGGATTTGAGCAGAGCAGCAGCACTATTCAGAATAATGTTTGAAGAATGCTTTTTCTTGCTGTGTGAAAACAGAGTTGGGAAATCTGGAAGCTCTTGTGATTTTGGTTTGAAGTTTCTAGAGCATAAACTTAGGCTTTGCAAACAGAGGGAAGTACCGATGTGAAAAGCAGAGACAATAATATAAAAAGAAGCAACACGACTTTAGTGATAGGCAGACTGTTTGTGGTAGGTCTTAAAAGTGTTACAAAATATGGAGAACTAGCACTATTACCTGATTATTCTTAGAGAACTTGTGGATAGCCTGGAATTGTAGTTAAAACACAGTTCTCTAAAATAAGTGCAGATATGCTCATGTTGTTCTAGGGGTTGAAGAAACATATAATCCCCTTTATGCAATGCATAAAAATACCCAGATTGTAGTGATAGTGAGAAGACTTTCATCCCCTCTGAAAATTACTGAGCACTTGCCACGTGGCAAGTACTGTGCTAACTGTGGGACTGCAATGATGATAAATAGATCCCCTGCCCTGCCTCACAGTAGATTTGGGCAGTGATCCAGGTATAAGTGAACCAAGTGACGGCTGAAACCGTGTGCTGGCATGCGTCCTCTGACCCAGCGAGGAAAGCCTGGATCCGAGGCTAACACTTCCCTTTGAACGTGGCAGGTAGAGGGCAAGAGGAGGATGGGCCCCGAAACTTGGGCTGGGCGACAATGTCCACAAGAAGAAGGCAGCCAGCTGCCATTAGGGATGGGAGCCTTTAAAAGATCCTCAGGATGAGGGCACTTTTAGTTTGGAGGGGATTGGTGGTAACCTTAATGAGCGGTTAAATTCCAGAGTAGAAATTAGGTTTTAAAATGTCACAGAGGTAGCAGATAGCAGAACAAAAAAAATCCTCATGGAATATAAATAACATGTTTCTATGGTTTTTCCAGGAAGTGGAAAACAGAAATGCTTTTATAACTGTGTAGTAAGCCACTTGGAACATTGAGTAATAATAGTAACTGTTATTAGCTAATAATAGCAGTAATAATTATCATTATTTAAAAAAAACCTGTTGCTGGTGAGTCAATTCTGACTCATACAGACCCTACAGGACAGAGTAGAACTGCCCCATAGGGTTTCCAAGGAGTGGCTGGTGGATTCAAACTGCCGACCTTTTAGTTAGCAGACCAAAGAGTAACCAATGCTCCACCAGGACTCCAATTATTATTATAGCTACCTGTTATTGATTCCTGGGCACCATGCCGGATATTTTATTTATATTATTTAATTTTATTCTCACCTTCAGAAGGAAGTTGAACTCTTCCCATTTTACAGGTGAGGAACTGGCCTTACGCAAGTATGTTAACTTGCCCAAGGTCACATAGAGAGAATCAGCTCTTCCTGGCTTTGAAGCCCATGCTTTCTTGTACCATACTGTGCTAGCTGCCTTCCTAGATGGGGGTAAGTAGGCAAGTAAGGGCTTCCAAAAGTTAAGATTACTTACAATTGTTGTTAAAGATGTCTCAGGAAAAGAAGAAATTAGTGTGAAAAAGGTAGTGAGGATAAAGGGTAGATGTCCTTAGCTTTTCTTGCAAATGCTTAAGACTGCAGTCATTTTTTATTAATCTTTGTTATTTTCCTGAGGGCATGGTAATTTTTATTATAGTTTTAAATCCAAAGAGACAGAGTTCATTTGATTGGAATGTTTATCTTCAGACACAAAGCTCTTTATTGTAGTAATACAGACTGGATGTTACCAGAGCCCTGGTGGTGCAGTGGTTAGGCATTCAGCTGTTAACCAAAAGGTCAGCAGTCTGAATGAACCAGCCTCTCCTTGGAAACTGTATGGGGCAGTTCTACTCTGTCCTATAGGTTACCTATGAGTCGGAATCAACTCAATGGCAATGGGGTTTTTATCACCAGAGCAGCAATTCGTCGTTTCCATTCTGTTAGCCCTCTAGACTCAATTTCTCTAGACAAGCCACTAGGTGAGGAGTCCAAGGAGCAAGGTGGGGCTTCCTATTAGAGAAGACTGTTTTTGCTATGGGATATCAAGAATGCCTGTATTGTAGATTTATTTTCAAAGAAATGTTAGGACTCAAGGATTATGAGTGCTACTGTCTTAACTAATTTTCTCCCCCTGCTGCTCACAGATACTTCCTGTGCCTTCAGCTCCGGCAAGACATTGCTTCTGGCCGCCTGCCCTGCTCCTTTGTGACTCATGCCCTCCTGGGATCCTACACACTGCAGGCTGAACTCGGGGACTATGATCCAGAAGAGCATGGCCCTGATGTCTTCAGTGACTTCCAGTTTGCCCCTACGCAGACTAAGGAGCTAGAAGAGAAGGTGGCAGAGCTACATAAAACCCACAGGTCTGTCAGTTTGCTTACTGGAGAGAGAATGGCTGTGGAAAAACTTACATAGCTCCTCTTACAACACTTGCTGGGAGTTCCTGGGTGGCACAAATGGTTAAGCACTCGACTGCTAGCCAAAAGATTGACGGTTCAAACCCACCCAGAGCCACCTCAGAAGACAGGCCTGGTGATCTACTTCTGAAAGGTCAGAGCCTGGAAAATGCTGTGGAGCAGTTCTACTCTGCACACATGGGGTCACCATGAGTCGGAATCAACTCGGTAGTAACTGTCAACAACAACATAACATGCTAGATGGTTAAGCATAGTTTATGGGATTATCCAGTTTTTCCTTTTGGAGCATCACCTGGTACCGATCAAGACAACCTGCAGCCCTGAGATGTCCTTTCATTGTCTTTATGAACTATGCTCATGAGAATGAATGTTTTTATTTAAAAAAAATTTACTTTTTCCTATGGTATCTCCTCCCTCTGCCCCCAATACTGTTCTTCAACAAACATAGCCACATACTTGGCTGGCATTTACTTAACATTTCTTATGCCTTTTAGTTGTTTTTATGACTATATTTGATAGGAAAGCCTGGGATGATGATGAGGCATCAGGATTTGAATCAGAACTGTGGGTGGTGATGGGCGTAGGAGTAGTAATTGAAACATACAGGTGGTTACACTATTCACAAAAGGTTGCCTTTTAGTTTAGCTAAGGATTACATAAATTACTTAAATACTGTTCTACTTGGAAAGCTCTTATATCTGTGTGGTAATAATGAATTTTGTAACACAAGTTTTTAAAACGCCTACAAAATTACATTATTTTAAAATAGCTGCAAAATTATAATTGTGCCATACTGCAAAACTGAAGTTTTATAAAATTTTGACCTAAAATGATTTGAAAGGAACATTTAGGGATTAGAAGTTTTAAAACCAGCCATGTTCACTGACTTTCCTTAAAATAAATAAATAAACACAGCATTTAACTCTAAATATCTTCTTACTAACTTTATTCCAATTCTGTTCAACACCCATTTACTGTATAAATCTAATTTGAAATATCAGGTGCTGGAATGCCATGGGGAATATGAAGATTAATGGGACCAGCTTAAAATTTTAGTTGAGGATACACATATGAGTGGAAATAAATTTAGTACGGACAGAATGCGATATGTTTTGTTGATCAAAGCTGTAAAAGCAAGTACCAGTAATTTTGATCTTTATTTGATCAATCTTAGTGGAAAATAAAATTAAATACTAAGTATCTCAGAACAATGAAATCCCAGGTTTATTCTCAGTTACCATATGCTATGTCCATTATTGCTGTGGCTTTTTTCTCCAGTGGAAAAAAAAAAATCAAAAGCAACTTCTAAAGATAGAAAGAGTAAGGGTGGAGATATACCTCCTTGCAGTTATTGATTAGAGGATATCATGAGAAAAATGCTAGAGGTTAACAGTTTAGTCTTCTTACTGGTTTCCTACTTGTCTATAAATTTAGCTGGGTTACTCCCTCCATCCCAAACTCCCATGCTTACACCACCCCCCTCCATTTTGACTACATTTGCATCTACTAATAATATAATATTGTTTCTTTTGATTCTTAGGGGCTTATCTCCAGCACAAGCTGATTCTCAGTTCTTAGAAAATGCAAAGAGGCTCTCCATGTATGGTGTTGACCTGCATCATGCGAAGGTACTGTAAATGTAGCAGTGGAAGAGGCCTTGTTCCAGTCTGTTGACTGGAGCTTTAAGAGGGCTCCATTTTCTGAATAGACTAGTTCACTTTTGGGTAAAAGCTACTCACCTCACTTGAGAATCTCTATACTATTTCTTTGGTTACTAATTGGTGGGGTTCATGGTTGAGGGAAGGACCACCTATTCTTCCTCAACTTCATTCTTCTCCACAATCTTTTTATATAATACCTTTTTATATGTACTTGTCTTAAGATTCACCTTGTCAGTCTTTTTTATGATCCATTCTTTACTCCTCAACCTGCTTTATTCTGAGTTCCAACTTCTGCTATGCCAATTATTGCCTCTATAGCAGCCCCCTCCCACCCCCCAATATCTTGGGAGAGGAGAGCAGAGCCTAGCAACCATAAAGGGAAAAAGTGACATGAATATGAACACCTACCAAAAAGCTTCTGAGCTATGATGGAGTGCTACAGTTGGGCTCTTCCCTGTAGGTCTCTTAGTTTTGCACATGATGAAGGGTAAAGTAGACTGGCTGAGACTTAAGGTGATAAAGCACCTTCAGTCTAATTTGAGAAGTGGAAAAAGAATGGAATATTAGGAGAAGCTGGGGAGGGGGTGAGTTGAAAGCATGCTGATAACATCATCTACTTCATGATTTTAGTTATGATGATCACATAGTGGGGAGAGTCGAGGATAACAAGAGGTACAGTAGAAAGATGAATTTGATTTTGAAAAATATGTCCAGAGTCATCTCAACATACTGAGAGAATTTATGATTACCTAATTTTAAAAGACACTGCCAATCCCTAGATGCAGCATAGAAAGTCCAGATTATATTGAGACATCTCTAGGAAGGCCTCCCCACTACCCAAAGATATCTTCCTTCTTTTTGTGTTATTAATAGTACTTCATTTTGCAAAACATTTTCCCCCTCAATGATTTTCTTTATTTGTTAAATATTTCTCTTTATTACAAAAATACATGTTCATCATATAAAATAAATAGAAGCAAACAGAAGAAAATAAAAATCACTTAAAATCTCTTTATGCAGAAATAATCACTGTTAATATTTTGGTACATTTTCTTGTTTTCTTTTTAATCTCTGAGCAGTTGTCCTCACACTTTTTTTTTAATGGGATTATACCCTGAAGTATCCTTCTGTGAGGTTGAGTTTTTTTTTTTCCTTGACATAAACATTTTTCTGTTGGTAAATAATGTTTGGCAGCATCATTTTTAATTGCTAGGAGCTGTAGCCCCTTTAATTTTTAAAAGTACTTTTCACATGAGCCATTTCATGTAAGATTTGAAGGTTTTTATTTTACAACTACATAAAACAATGCAGAGAATGACTTGCTTAAAGCCACAATTGTTAATCAGTCCCATGTGTCTGTTATCTTCTAATAAATCCTACTAGGGGCTGAAACATACCTTCTAACACTTGAGAGTTTTTCAGCTTTTTTTTTTATATGATGGTGACTGCCTTGGGCAGCTGAGAAACAGAAATAGGAGAGGGAGAGGAGAATGAGCTTAGGACCAAAAAGATCTCCTTAGGCCTATCTTGCCTCTAAATCCTGTTTCTCTTGCCACACATAAATTTTGCATCTGCTAGGAGCCCTGGTGGCGCGGTGGTTAAGAGCTTGCTGATAGTTCGGATACACCAGCTGCTCCTTGGAAACCCTATGGGGCAGTTCTCCTCTGTCCTGTCGGGTTACGGTGACTCGAAATCCACTTGACAGCAATGTGTTTGGTTTTTTGGTTACTTTGTTGATAAATTAGAAACCCATTCTTAAGATGGCAGTGCTGCAAGATTTCAGGATTCTTTTTTTTAATGTATCTTAGAAAATAAAATAAAAATATGGCCTCTGTTACAGGTCTAACATGAGCTGTGTGGTTAAGAGCAGAGCACTTGTTAAAAAAATTCAAAGTGATATTCATTCATTTATTTTATCATCTTATACTCATTGGATAATATTTGATAAGCAAGATATTTATAGTTTATTGAAAAGAATATCTGTAGCAATTTAAAGAAATCTTCATGTAGTTCATAGTTTTGTACTATTATACATTTTTCGCTGCTTCCAGATCAGATATTTTCTTTTTAATTAGAAGAACTCTTGATGGCATACTCACATTTGAATACATTGAGGAAGGTTGAGTAGAGGGACTCTTGACAAAGGTACAGGGAAACCACAGGGGTGGTATGATATCCCTCTTAACCCCTCTAGGTCAGGAGGGGTGTCTTAGTCATCTAGTGCTGCTATAACAGAAATAACAGATGTGGATGGCTTTAACAAAGAGAAGTTTATTTCCTCACAGTAGAGTAGGCTAAAAGTCCAGATTCAGGGTGTCAGCTCCAGGGGAAGGCTTTTCTTCATCGGCCTTCTCATCAGTCTCCCCCACAGACTAGGAGCTTCTCTGTGCAGGGACCCGGGGTCCAAAGGGACGTGTGCTGCTCCCAGCAGGCTTTCTTGGTGGTGTGTGGTCCCTCCTCTCTACTCACTTCCCTTTCCTTTTTATCTCTTGAGAGATAAAACGTGGTGGAGGCCACACCCCAGGGTAAACTCCGTTTGCATTGGATCAGGGATGTGACCCGGATAAGGGTGTTACAATCCCACCCTAATCCTCTTTAACATAAAATTACCATCACAAAATGGAGGACAACCACACAATACTGGGAATCATGGCTTAAGGAAGCTGACACATATTTTTGGGAGACACAATTAAATCCATGACAAGGGGTGAGGACAGAGAGTAAGTTGCCTGAAGACAGAAGGGGAGAGCTGTCTTGAGAGGAGCCATGATGTCAGAGGGGCATAGCCAGCTTGATGCAGTCCCACAGGGAAGGAGTCTAGTATTAAATACCCTTTCCTTCCTTCCTCCCTCTCCTCACTTTGATCTTCTACCAGAACTTTCCATAGGCTGAACCCATTCAGAAGCCAGTGGACCTGGAGTCCTATTGATATCCATGTGCAGCTACTTCTTGTGGGCAGCAAACGAGGCAGAGAAGGGTGCTCCTCTGTATTAATTTGTTTTTCTAACTTTGTTGCTGGATGGCAGAAGGCAAATATGGAGGACATGCTTTTTTTCCTTTTTACTTCCTATCACTTATCTATAATTTCTATTCACATAAATGCTGATAATTCTAAAACAATATGTGGAGCAACCCAAAATGAACCAATTTATTTGAATCCAGGTTGTGTTTATGAAGATAAAATAGCTTCAGTGTCCTGTCCAAAGATTGCTTTAGACTAGAGGTAGCTTTGTTCAATGTTTCAAATGAGAGTTGCCTTCAATGTTTCAAATGAGAGTTGCCTCCTTACTTGTGGTGAGGACACACTGTCTCGGGCAATCTTAAGTCTTGCTCCCTGTCACCATCGCCAGTGATGTTTTTGGCAAACATACCGTTTGAGTCTGGTG